GTGCGGAGGCCCTTCATACCGACGGTCACTGTGACCGCTGCGGGGAGAAGATCGGCTGTCATCCCAGCAACGAGTGTTTGCAACCCTTGGACAAAGCCCACCAACTCCTTCTTGTCCTGTCTGGCGACAAGAAAACGTGATCTCATGCGATATGCCTGGTTTGGCGGCGAGAATACTCGTAACTGAAGCAGCATCAGCACCTTTCAGGAGGGAAACGCCGCTTCAACCAAAGTACCGCACGTCGGTGCCCATTCTCGCGCTCGACCACCGAGAGGATCTGCTGCTATCCCGGTAATGAGAGTTTGCAACTCTTGGACATAGTCCACCAACTCTTTATTGCTCTGTCGAGCAGCAAGGAACCGTGATCTCACGCGATATGCCTAATTAGGTGACGAGAAAACTCGCCAAAGCTGTCGCTTCAGCTCCTTCCGGGGTGGGAACGCAGCTTCAACCAAAGCACCCCACGTTAGTGCCCATTATCGCGCTCGATCACCGGGGTGGAGATAGTTAGCGCCACGCATTGTTGCTCGTTTTGGAGCTTGGCGGATGCCGTATCCATCTCGGCCTCTTTTACCCAGAGTAGTAGATTCTCTCCAACCTTACCCTCGAAGGTCTTAACACTCACCATGGACGGCCTGGGTGGGAAGGAATCGTCCGTCGTCGACGGCGGCGTCATAGACGCTGTCGGCGCTGACAGTATCTGTTGTAAGTGCTCTAACAGAGCATTTTCATAATTTGAAAATCCCTCTAGGCGCTCGTTTAAGTCCTCGGACTCTTGCGCAACGAGGTGCCCCCGACCTTCAGGGACCAGCAGGGATATAAGCCTTTTAAGCTAGTCCTGCATGTCCTGGGTCAAATAGTATCGTTCCCCCATCTTCACAGAGGACCAGTCATAACGACTCAGGCGTAGATTGACTACGAGTGGTACCAAGTTTAGCAGGGTCTCCGTATCTCTCTGCTAAGAGAAGCTAAGCTAAGCTAAGGTCACCGACCTTACGTTCTTTCCAAGAACCAGTACGAGTGTAGCGGATCGCAATCCGCTACCTCAGAGTACTAAACATTAACCAAGGCAAACGAACAGAAGTGAAACTGTATTTAATTGTCTTTGTTGCGGCAAAGCCGCTGATATCTAAAACCTTAGGTTTTAGTTACTAATATAGTAATGTCTAATTAATATAGTGAAACCTAATTAATATAGTTATATGCAGTACTACTCGCAATCCTGCACACCATTGCGTGATTACACCACTTGTGTGATCCACACACATACGGTCACGCTATCTTGTGTGACCCGCCACTTTCATACAAGGGTACGTGTAACTCCATTACACTCTGGGTACATGTAACCTTGTTACAACATGGGCTCCCAGCTTCACTTGGTTCGTTAAATAGATTTTTTACTCCAGATAGTAGTACAGATATGTATTTAGCTTAACTTTTATATAAAGCACTCTCCAATTTTACAAAGTGCAGATCTTGAGAGGCTCTAGACTTGGCATACCAGAAGCGGGCGGTAAACTCGTCCTCTGCATAAATCATTGCAGACTCTGACAGTCAAAACTTCCTATGCACAAGGTGCTTGGCAACCTTGTTGCTTCGGGATGCGGGCGAAGCTGTAGGCCATGTTCTCTAACAAAGGTTAAAGCAAGCAAAAACGTATGTAATGTTTTAAATTTAGAGTGAAAGATCGAAGCCGTACATTCAGAAAAAGAAAATTTTCTGTCAGCTTTTATCTGGACAAGGTTCTCTCCTTACCTCACACTTCTAAGCTACCTCAATAAATCTGACAGCTTTTCTTAAGCTCGAAGTCAGTGTATTGTTCAGCTTTCACCTTGTCCTCTTGCTTGCTAATTTATGATTTTGCATCACTTGTAGTATTCTCCACTTCATATAGCAGTGAGAAACACTATACTACGTTACTCAGCGCTATTAATTACAATCCCGACTTGAAATGTGAAGGGAGTTATCCTGCAAAATAACGATGTAACACAGGGAACAAATACTTTCTGTCTTTTCTACACACATATACCATAAGTAATGCCGTACGACACAATGTAAGGTAATGTTTTACCTCAAAAAATTACAAGGCGTAACCATACCTTGCGCGTAACTGTGATAACCTTTTGGAATACCTGCCCAGTGATTTCATTGACGAATTATGAATTGAAAATGGTCTCTTGAAGCACTTTACCACTGATGCAAACTTATCAAATGTATCAATGATGTGATCAATCATGAGAGCGCTCATTGCGCTGAAGAAACAGGAAGTAACGTGTAATACAATAACATTACTTTCGCGCGTCACCTCAACAAAACTACGGGGCTACAGAATACTACGCTTCAGCATAACTCGATCGAGTTGTCCTTACTTGATGCGCTGCCAAAGTTTGTCGCCTTAAGGGTCAAATGCGACTTGGTTGGTCAAGCTGTACAAAATATAAAACTCTTCGTGTCAGCACAGCACGAGCTAGCGAGCAGGTGAGTCAAATCAAAGCAGCGTCACTCCGATAAGCAATGCAAAGCCTATGATCGCAAACTGCTTGACGGACTGGATTGAAGTTGCTGCACTCTCCATTGATGAAGTACTTGAGCTCGTGTCTAAATCCGATTCTGATCCCGCGTCATCCTCATCTGTCGAAGCCATTTCGTCTATCTGACCAACTTCGTCAATGTCCCATAGCTCGGATCCCATGCTTGAAAATCTGTCCATACTTGCAGAGGATTCATTTACTGATTGAAACTTTGCATTCGATGCGCCATCATCATCACTGCCCTCATCCGCATAATATGCATCACTTGCGTCACTTGTGTCGCTACTACCAATTGGGGAATTTGTTTGTTTTTCGGTGGCTGTTGCACCCGTCCCAGGTACCACAACATCGTCATCCTGCTCTGTGTCGTCCATTTCCATTCCTAACGTTGCCTTTTGAGGAAACCCTATGACAGTACCCTTGGCTGGAGTTGAACCAGAAGCTGGTTTTGGGCCTCCAGCCGGTGCAGACGCTGGATCTGGTGCTGCTGCTTTCGGACCAACAGTAGTCGGATTTACATTCGACCCATCTGACTTCACCTCGATTTCAAAACAGGTTGAGTATGCAGCACCAAAGTATCCTTTGGCCATGTTTTGGTCCTTATACGCGTCCTGATTATCGAGCCAAAAGGTCCAATACCAAACCATTTTGTAAATTCCTGGAGCTGTGCCCGCTGGAACACTAAACGAACCAATACATGGTTTTCCATCACCAGCGCGTCCACTGGGTTTACCATTATAATCATACGTCTCACCACAATTACCATCATCGTAATCATTTGTGTGTCCGTTGATCAAATGCTCGGGCTTCATGTCATGCGTTGATGCGAGTGACGTGCCTGGTTGACCCGTCCAGTAAACACCGTGCTGAGTTCCAACACCTTTCTTATCCTTGACAATATGACCATTTGGTAGATACGAAAAAAATGCCGTTTGTCCTGGTTTTAAAGAAATTCGTTTTCGCCAGTCCGAGTATGTGTTCGGGTCAACAGGTTGACATACAGGTGCTCCAGCTTCGACTTCATTTCTTAGCATCTTGTATGTATACCCTGGTCCAATAGCTAAGTCTCCGCGCCCCGGGTATCCTGCTCCGTAACCTTCACAATATCCATTGCCACCAGCGCCGCCAAAGATATACGATGAACTTTGATCGTAGAGTTTAGCACGATCCGTGTCAATACAGTCGATCCATGAGTGCGCTTCCGTAGAGAGCGATATAGTTGAGAGAAGAAATTGCACCAAGATAATCGTTGACGATACAACAAACACCATTGCTGCTGGTTTAATTGTGGCTCTACTGTCGTGCAGTGCGATGTAGAGGCGGAAAACGGTCTGTTGTAATGCAACAGCAACAGATGTGCAAGACTCGCTTTATGTCAGCATTTGTATAGTAAGTGGGCTGGCCTGTTTCTTCGTAGTGGACTGGGAGCAAAAGTAGAGCTGGGATTCGCCAAGTCACTCGCATTAATCACCACAACCTCTCAATCTCTGACCAAGTTATGTGCTTGTAAAGGCACATTTGTTTCTGGTATGGGGCTCATACTGTAAATATTGACCAGTACCACGCAATTTACCTTCGTTAAATCAACGCGTAAGCTGATATTAGAGATTTTTGAGGACTAGGGTGCGACTGGCTCGACAAAGAGACTAGTTCATGGTAATCTTTTGACCAAAGATAAGATAAGTTCAAAGCATTTCGACAAGAACATTCATACAGCGCTCTATCTTAACGCTCTTAATGTTCGGCAATAATGACTGGCATTGAAAACAAAATATTATTCTTTTATCTAGTTTGGATGATCAAACTCGTGGAGGTATACTATTCTCTGTAAACGTTTTTATGGCTCACGAATTGACGACAACGCGACCGAAAGTCCCGCTTGAGTCTTTTATATCCTAATTTCCTGACTCTGCACTTCGTCCGACGAGTTGTCGTGCATGAGGCGGGCTATATAATAACTTCGGTATATAGGGTGCGATTGTTCTTTTTATAAACTGAATTTAATAATTTTCGACACATTCGCCCTTACAACGCACAAAATCAAGCTTATAATTTTCTAAAGGAGGTGAGTTTTAGCACTTCGCCCACTAAATTTTGCGATTTTCGTATAGTGAGCCTAATGGAAATGGCCACTACTTTTCGAGCACTTCAAATTAGAGCTTGTTCATAAAGTTGGAATTGATCAATATCAAAGTTCGTTTGAGTTGAGATCCAATTTGATTAGATGTACAGAAAGCTGATCCAGAGCAACAATTTGATAAGTTTACGTCCTACTGACAACGCTTTAACAAAGGTTGTCTGCATTTGTATCGTAGTATCTGTGCTACTAGGAATTGGTGATGAACGGTTTTTAGTCGACAAGATGACCAGGTTGATAGCTCTTCAAGGGACTTAAAGCAGCGTTAGACTACTCATAGTAAGCGAATGCAAGTTTATCTAACATCTCGTTAAGTAATGATGAAGTCGAGCGCACCACTGGATGCTAGAAGAAAGAGCTTGAAAAGAATAAAAAACAATTAGTGATATTCACTAATAGGAATTTAAGAGACCTGAGGTCATGAATTACGTAATTGGAAAAGACATTGACTGCCAGAAAATGGACATGTGCGATTGAAAATTGGTTGTTTTTGATCTTAAACCAACATGACAAAAGCAATTAAGATCTGACTGATTGTCAAGTACTACATACTCAGCCGTAAAGGCTCTGTCAGGAGTAAGGTTTTGTCTGAAACGCTTGATCAGCCCGTTCTTCAACCGCTCATCTGTTGTCATGTCCTTTACCGATGTCTCAAGCAAATTTTTTTACTTGACAGATGTAGACGTAATTGATTCTAATTTGCTGTCCACATCGCTGACCGGATCAATTATTTGATCACACTACAAAGTATACTTCAATTTACTGCAATTGCGAGACTATTAACATCGCACAGACCACATTCACTCACTTCGGTTTTGCTAAACTAAGCGCCTCTGTAACAAATTAATGGAGCTCAACAAACTTGGCACGCCATGTATTATCCTTAAGCGGATCTAATCATTACCATTGCCGCATTCCAATGTATTGCTCTACTTTGCTATACTACTGTCGTTTGTGATCCCATACTTACTCGTCTTCTTAAGGTCAACAAATTAAGTATCATTTCTCCTACATGATCACGTTTGCTACTTCATGACACGAAAATGTCGTTATAAATAAACATCAAAGATCCCTGTATGACTTCGACTCCAACTCTCCCAATAAGTCACTCGCAATTGTATGTTTAATAGCTCAAGGGACTTAATATATATATAATGACCGCTGTTCGGAGTGGTTGAGTGTAATGCTCAATTTATCCACTGATTGAAGTTGTCTGTCGGAGTACCAGCTTACTGCTGTTCTGACCGTCACTGAGCGACATTAGGAGGAAGGAGCTAGCCTTACCTTACTCTATATGTTGAAGATTCTTGAAATCCGTCTGCATCTTCGTCAACCCTTTAATTTCGCTCAACTGCAATAACTATCCCAGGATGTTTCATTCTTGCGTTCAATAAACAGCGTCAAGAGGTAGAGTCGTCATTACGTCCATGTATATCATTTTAATTATTGGCGTAAAACTGTTATCTTTCCGTACAATGGATTATTATTGGCATACCGCTTGTAGCTAGCTGCGTTTTTGCCTCACATACTCTCGCTTACTCTCGACTCAACTGATTTTCAGTTAGGTTGAAGGATAATCAAACTAAGTAGTTAAGACGCGAGCTTTACACACTAAAGACAAAGGGGCTCATCTCCTCTGAAAAATGATGACATTACAGCAACGCACAGACAGCCATGTTTTCTTGAGGTGCATGCGTAATCTTTGATTTGCTTGCCGCACTTAATTAATATTACATTTGTCCATAGTCGTGGGGAGCTCAACTCGTATGCAAAGATTCATAGTAGCCATTTTGCGATCTATGATCGAAACACAAGTATATACTCGAGGCCGACGAATTACCGTTTTTCGGAACACTTCATTAATAGCATATCCGTAATTACATCGCACAAAAGACCATTGTCATAGTAGATCTGTCAGTGATGCTATTCAAATG